CAATGCAGCTCACGCAGGAGAGCTCCCATAATCCCCCGCGTGGCCGCATTCTGCACCAGTTGGAGCCTCCGGGTGCTCCTCAAGGGGAGCCCCATGTAGAGAGCATTGCAGTAGTCCAGGGAAGTGACGAGTGCCTGAGTGACTGTGCGTAAGGAGTCCCGATCCAGAAAGGGATGCAACTGGCGAATCAGGCGGACCTGATAAAAAGCCCCCCTGGCCACGGCCATCATATGCTCTTCTAAAGACAGCCATGCATCCAGGAGGACGCCCAAGTTGCGAGCCCTGTCCGTGGGGGCCAATAACTTGCCCCCAATAGCCAGCAATGGCACCAGCTGGCTATATCAGGACGCCGCAGTTGAGCCTGCAATACTTGTGTACTGCCTTTAAAGAACTTTACCACCAGCCTGGTGATATCCTCAGGCAGAGCAGTCACAGAGGCTGCTTCAGTAGCAGAACTCCTGATTGCTAAGGCCCAATGTCATAAGTAGAAATTCACACCTGGCTATCTGCTATTGTCTGTCAGCACTATTCTCCCATCACTAACCACACACATGCCAAGCTGCCATTTCCCCTTTCCTTAATCATCAAAGATCCCATGCATAAACAATGTCTGTCCACAGAGCTGGTAGTTTAATATCAGGGCATTCCTGAGTGTGTACTCAATCTGTTGTTCAAAACACTAAAAAGTAATGTATCCTAATAGCCATATTTCAGTTCAGAATGTTTTGTTTTACATGCAAAAATCATAGACCACCATACTGGTAGTAGAATTCTTGTTGGAGACCAATGAAGTTACTATAGTCAGAGAGAATCACAGGTAGGCAGAAATGTCATCTGCAAATAATCAAAAGCACTGGTAATGGATAATGACTAAGGACTGTTACAGTAAATCATGATATACATCATGTTAAGTTTCTCCTTCAGAGGCTAGACTGAAAACAGGTACAGATGAAGCCTAGAAATGAAAACGAATGGCTATCCATTTGTACAGAGAAAACTAAAAGTTTTCACATGCACCCTTAAAAATGCAGTATAAAAGCTCAGAATCAGGAAAAATGTCTGTTCTAACCATGACAGGCACAACTACATGCCTCTGTCATCTTGGGCACCCTCATTCAAGTCACCTTTTTGCATTAGGACCAAGATCCAATATAAACTACTTCTATGTAGCCCATGTCATGTGAAGAAAACATTCCTTGGATCAGTTTACTTCCACTTAAAATCCTAGGTCTTGAGGACTGTTTTGAAAATTAAAAAAGAGGTTGTAGAAGAGAAGATTCTAAAGAAAAAATTCAATTATTATAAAGCTGCTAAAAGCTTTGCTACTTTATAATGCATACCTGTTACATATTTTTTTTTTACATTTTAGAAATCTGTATATTCTATATAGTAATGTAGAAATAACCTTGAATGGATCAGTTGCTAGGGGAGGAAAAAATAACAATTTACTTGATGGTAGTTCATTGCTGTAGAATATAACAGAATTATAAAGCTTGTCAGATTATTTCTGTCCACTGTTATACCAAATAAAATCAAGACAGAATTTCCTTTTTCTGCTTTTCACTTTCCCAGGACAGAAGCATCATTTTCTTCCTCCCTTAACAATTCATCCAAGTCTGCATTACTATTACTATTAATCTTCTCATCGTTCCTATCACCCATCTCCTCCCACTTATGACTGTATGACTGTAACTTGTTGCTGTATCCTTATGATTTATTTTGTTTCCTAGTATGATTTGATTGCTTATTTGTACCCTATGATTATCATTAAGTGTTGTACCTTATGATTCTTAACAAATGTATCTTTTCTTTTTATGTATACTGAGAGCATATGCACCAAAGACAAATTCCTTGTATGTCCAATCACACTTGGCCAATAAAGAATTGTATTGTATTGTATTGTATTGTATTGTATTGTATTGTATTGTATTGTATTCCTTCAACAAGTTATCTCTATGATTCTTTACATTTTCTTATCAAAGTTTCAATAAAGGACAATATACATCTTTGGGCCAGTCAATCTCTCTCAACCCATCTCAGACAGTTGTTGTAGGGAAAAAACAGGAGTATTACAAATGTTCAGCACCTTGAGATAGTAGATAAAGTGGGATAAAAATCTAATAGAAATAATAAAAATTAATGGAATGGAATTTATTTAGTGTATGGCGATGGAATGGAGAATCATGATTTAACAAAAGCATTAAGCTTCCCTACTTACTGAAAAAAAGTACTTATAGGTCAATTTATTATATAATATAAAAGTGACAACATGCAACTTCATTTTTATCAGTCACTAATTAGAGAAAATAAACATGGGATTTGAGACAGTCTGGTGCTTTACTTTTGACAGCCACAACACAGAAGGGAAGCATCTGCAATCTTCAGAAAATAGACTCTGAATTCTTCAAATCTGAAAGCTATTCTAGGAGTGCATAGCACTAGCACTATATAACCAAACAGGTTTTTCACACTGAAGGGCCTCAAGATCAATGTTTAGGACAAAAACAGGAAAATATAAGTGAACCCTTATGCTTAGATATATCTGATCAAATTACTGGGATGTGAAAGGAAATTAGACTGTTCCTTTGATCTATTATAGTTCTCACATGCAAAAGTAAACTACCCTGGCACTACATTTACCACAAAGTATCCTACTCAAAAAAGATGCAAAAAAATTGAGTAGTATTATAAATAGAACTTGTATTAGATGTTCACTGCCTGCTACAATTCTTTCATAATTAATGTTTGCTACAATTATTTCTTGGGATTCTTCTGCATTTGCTTTCAGCCTAGTCTCTCAAGAAACCTACCTGTCAAACTCGAAGCATGTATGCTGTTGCAATTGCAACCATTATCACTTCTCAACTTTCCAAAGAACCAGGGGGAGAGGGAAGGGCGAGATGGAATGCAGGCTCGAGACTTTAAGTGGCAGAGCCGTGAGAGCCAAGGAAACTTCAGCAGGTGTTTGCTGAGAGACTTTTTCTCATAACAATAAAATGACATTCAATTGGACAATGTAACCTGCACTAATAGGGGGGAGAAATCTATACTGTAATTATGTGGGTTTGCATGGGAATTAGGTAGAGCTGGTTTTTCCTTCAAAAGTGCCGAAATGATGTACTCAATAAAGTTTTGCATTTTGCATTTAGACATGAGTCTTGAAGGTGCTTGCTTGGGTTGGGTTCATCAGTAGGAACATTGTCATTAACATAACGTATATCCTGATTTACTGTAACAGATACTTCCTACCCTATAGAAAGTGGTTTTAATAAAATTATTTTTAAAATCGTATTAATTTGTAAATATATTAAATCATTACTATATTTTGAATGTAATACTCATGACTATTTAGTATTGAATCTGGAAAAACACAAAGGAGCAGGACATGATTGAAGGGTAATCCTGTCCTCTGCAAATAAACTATTTTAACTGTTACTTGTATATATTTCTAATATTCTATTTGAAATGTTTAGATACCAAATCTTTCCTTCATGCAGACACTAACGAGATTTTTACACCACTCAGCCACAAGTTAGCAATGTCACTCAGAAGATCTGCGACTTACGTGCCTATCCCATATAGCTGATGTCTATAGAAATCCCTGTGTATAAACACAGAAAAATGAGCTTCAGGTTGGATTCATATTCTTTGTTTCTTCAAAAATGTAGGAGTATGAACAGCAATATTAAAGAAGTAAATATGTGTTTGATGCCACTGGCCTTGAAAGCAACAGCAGTACTTTGAAGTGGATTATTTTGCTCCTTTCCATTTTAAATTAAGGTTTAGACATAAGTCAGATAGAGCACTGGTCACTCTACTCTTGTCAATACCTGAAAGACCAGTGTTTCTTCCTTGGTGTTATTACATGTCTCTCAGCAGTTTTTGATGCCACTGACTATGACAAACAAAAATTGGAGGCACTGTGTTGGAATTGATTCCACTGACTGCTTGAAGCACTGTCTTATATGGGAAACAGGAACTTGAGAGAAGAGTTGTCTGATCCTTGGTTATTCCAATACCGTATAAGTGTCTTACCTATCTCCATTGTGTGGGAGAAATTACTTTATTTCAGGTGATTATCATCAATAGAATAGGGATAGTCATTAGTAAATAGATATGACTTGGGAAGTCTTCCTCCAGCATAGGTTGGTGGCCCCATTTCATTGAAGCTCTGGAGATAACTCACCGTCTTTTACCACATGGTTATACATCTGGGACACAATATCAGAATGGAAGGCCACTGTATGCCTCACCAGTTGCTCTATGGTGAACTGGAGACTGGAAGGAGACTTCAAGGTCATCCACACAAGTGCTACAAAGACACTGGAGGAAACCCTATGCCACTGTGACATCCAGCCAAGAGAAATAGAAACTGCAGCTGCTGACAGAACCCACTAGCAAATACTGTGCTGCAAAGCCTATGCCAGTTTTGAGGAGAGATTCTTCCAAAAACTGGTAGAAAATTATGAGTGGAATCCTAGAATAACACCCACAATTTTAACAATGGACTTCTGGTGCTCCCATTGTGCTACACTCTGTGCTTCCAGAATGGGACTGCAAAGCAATCTCTGTGTTCATAGATGAACAGCATAACAATGTCTTCTTTTAAGAAGGACTATCTATACTAGATTATACTGTATAACACATTCTATAGAATCACCCTTGAAAATGACCTAGAAAATACAAATACATTAAATATGGCAATCAGAATGATAACAGGTGAAAATTGCCATTATAATGTAATACCTATACTATAACAATAGTAGTTATTGGTGGGTTTTCTACAGTAGTTCAATCTGGAATGCTGGTTTTGATATATAAAACCTTATAGGACTTGGCACCAGGATACCTTAGGGACTATCTCTTCCACATGGAATCTGCTTGTCCTGTACATGTAGATAGTGAGAGGATGCTTAAAGGTCCCATCATCATAACAGCTCAGAAGTACATGAACCCAAAGATCTTAGGAAAGGCACAATATGGTTTAGTATATCACAGGCTGTAAATAATTGTTTTGTTTATTATATAAGCAATAAACTTTAAACATATAAACTTTATGTATAACAATTCCTAGCAATAAAACCATGCTTAGAGGAAAAATGATAATAAATAAAGATTTCCTTCAGGTGGGATTTTTTCCTCAGACTTCTCTTTACGAGGAAGAAAATGACAATCCTACAATGTTCAATTGAAAGCTATTTTTGAAAAACATTATTAAAACTGTAGAAAAGACCTGCAACATTATACTACTAAAAATAAAATTATCTTTATAAAGAAAAGTTAAAGTATTAGATATATTTTTCCATTTCAATTCTTGATAGCATTATTTAATACAAAGTTACTTCTATAATTAATCTTGTTATCTACTTCAGTACTGTAGTTCAGATGTCCAGTTCCTGTGAAAGGAATAAAAAATAAATTAAATATATACAAAAGTTTCTAATTTGTTAGCAAAAAGTATTAATCTGCTGCTTCATATTTTTATTTGTTTAACTTTTCTAAAGCTAATTTTGAATTTCCAAATTTTACCAGTGCTACTACATTTAATAATCCTCATAAACTTCACCCAAAAGAACTCTAAAGGGATTGGAACAACCTGCTGTTGCATCAAGTATCTTCAAAATCCTATATAATTGCTAGGTTTCTGGAGTTTGCTATTAGCAATATTTTATTTCTGTAAATTAACTAATTTTAAAATGCAATTTTATTGATACTTAAAGTGGTTCTGATAATAAAACACTGTGAATGCTAACCATAGGAAAACACTAAGAACCTAAGGTGAAACTCGAAAAATTAGAATATTGTGCAAAAGTTCATTTATTTCAGTAATGCAACTTAAAAGGAATCTTCGGAGAGGGGCGGCATATAAATTGAATTAATTAAATTAAATTAAATTAAATACGAGATAGACTCATTACATGCAAAGCTAGATATTTCAAACCTTGATTTGTCATACTTTTGATGATTATGACTTACAGCTCATGAAAACCCCAAATTCACAATCTCAGAAAATTAGAATATTGTGAAAGGTTCCATATTCTAGGCTCAAAGTGTCCCACTCTAATCAGCCAATTAAGCCATAACATCTGCAAAGGGTTCCTGAGCCTTTAAATGGTCTCTAAGTCTGTTTCAGTAGGAATCACAATCATGGGAAAGACTGCTGACCTGACAGTTGTGCAGAAAACCATCATTGACACCCTCCATAAGAAAGCCTCAAAAGGTAATTGCAAAAGAAGTTGGATGTTCCCAAAGTGCTGTATCAAAGCACATCAATAGAAAGTTACGTGGAAGGGAAAAGTGTGGAAGAAAAAGGTCCACAAGCAGCAGGGATGACCACAGCCTGGAGAGGATTATCAGGAAAAGGCCATTCAAAAGTGTTGGGGACTTTCACAAGGAGTGGACTGAGGCGGGAATCAGTGCACCAAGAGCCACCACACACAGACGGATCCTGGACATGGGCTTCAAAAGTCATATTCCTTTTGTCAAGCCGCTCCTGAACAACAAACAACGTCAGAAGCATCTTACCTGGGCTAAAGAAAAAAAGAACTGGTCTGTTGCTCAGTGGTTCAAAAGTCCTCTTTTCTGATGAGAGCAACTTTTGCATCTCATTTGGAAACCAAGGACCCAGAGTCTGGAGGAAGAATGGAGAGGCACACACTGCAAGATGCTTGAAGTCCAGTGTGAAGTTTCCACAGTCTGTGTTGATTTGGGGAGCCATGTCATCTGCTGGTGTTGGTCCACTGAGCTTCATTAAGTCCAGGAGATTTTGGAGCACTTCATGCTTCCTTCCGCAGACGAGCTTTATGGGGATGCTGACTTCATTTTCCAGCAGGACTTGGCACCTGCCCACACTGCCAAAAGTACCAAAACCTGGTTCAATGACCATGGGATTACTGTGCTTGATTGGCCAGCAAACTCGCCTGACCTGAACCCCATAGAAAATCTATGGGGCATTGCCAAGAGAAAGATGAGAGACATGAGACCGAACAATGCAGAAGAGCTGAAGGCCGCTACTGAAGCATCCTGGTCTTCCATAACACCTCAGCAGTGCCACAGGCTGATAGCATCCATGCCATGCCGCATTGAGGCAGTAATTGATACAAAAGGGGTCTAAACCAAGTACTGAGTACATATGCATGCTTATACTTTTCAGAGGTCCGATATTGTTCTATGTACAATCCTTGTTTTATTGATTTCATGTAATATTCTAATTTTCTGAGATTGTGAATTTGGGGTTTTCATGAGCTGTAAACCATAATCATCAAAATTATGACAAATCAAGGCTTGAACTATCTTGCTTTGCATGTAATGAGTCTATCTCATATATTAGTTTCACCTTTTAAGTTGCATTACTGAAATAAATGAACTTTTGCACGATATTCTAATTTTTCGAGTTTCACCTATATTTAGAAACATTCACTCAACCTAAATAGTTCTACTTTTACAAATATAACTATGCTGTAAAATGCTGTCAACTAAATATATTGCCCTCAGATGGGCAATCAATGATCACCACAGGTAGTCATGTAAGTTGGGTCAGTGTCCAATTTTCATAACAGAGGCTATGTATAAAAACCTTTTCTGCATCTGATTCTGCCTCTAGAAAACAATTCTGCACTAACAGCATTAACCCTTTCTGGAAACAAAGACAATTTCAAGTACTTCATACTAGCTTAGTTACGTAGGATTACATTGGAAAGAATATGTTTTGTTTAGGCAGATTCACATTGGGTAGGTTCATAGATTAAGTTATAATGTTGTTTGTTGAGTAGTTCTGGTGTAGTGTAATGGATAAAACTCAGTCATTGGCTTATATATAGAATTTAAAGCTTAATATTGAATGTGAACCAAGCCATTCTTCCCAACTGCATTTACCACATGAGGATTTAATCATGTTTGTTGTATAAATTATTGTGGTTTGGGTTCTACGTAATGCTAAGCTTTAATGACTTCATTCATTATCTGTTGCCAAAATCAGCCCAATTACATTATAAGCTTAGTACCATGTGTGAACCCAAGATGGCTTTTTTTCTAGTCAGGAAAAAGGAAGAAAAGGACTATCACTTTGCCTAACTTTAAAAAAATCTCAATTAACGATTCTTTGTTTCTTTCCAAGGCTGAGAAGAGAGAAAAAATATACTGTATTTTTCAGAGTATAAGACGCTCCGGAGTGTAAGATGCACATTAGTTTTTGGGGAGAAAAACAAGAAAAAAAAATCTGCCTCTGTCTACCAGCATCCATTGGCATTCATCTGGATAGCGTCCTTGCAGCAAACAGCCAACAGCCTGGTTATTGCAGCCTGATTTAGCACAAACAGCTGATTGGCAGTTGAATCAGCCTCCTGGAACACCGCCAATCAGTTGTTCTTGGCTGCAGGGATCGCCAGAGCCCATCACTGCCTCCATGCATCACGTTTTTGTCTTCTGCACATGGCGTTTTTGGCCTTCACACATTCTGTTTTAGATCTGTTCCAGGCTGTGGGGATTGCCACAGCACATCACCGCTGATTGCCACCTCTGCGCTTCGCATTTTTGGCCTCCGTGCGTTGCATTTTTGGCCAGTTCCAGGTGGCGGGGATCGCAGCCGCTCCCCGCCTGGAACCAGCTGAAAGTGTGACGCATGGAGGCCAAAAAAGGGGTGCGCAGAGGCCAAAAACTAGATGCACGGAGGCGGCAATGTGCTGTGGCGATCCCCGCAGCCTGAAATGGGTCTAAAACATGATGCATTGAGGCAGAAAATGGCCATAGGGTGCGTCCCGGTGGGTGAGCGGGGCTTCGGCAACATTTGGTGTATAAGACGCACAGCAATTTTCACCCACTTTTGGGGGGGGGAAGTGCGTCTTATACTCTGAAAAGTACAATAACTCATCTAGCTGTGCCATATTTTAACTGATATACTTATTTGTTTATTAATTTGTACATTTAATTTGCAGTCCACACTTTAAACTGAAAGAATCTCAGTTTTGTTTATAGATCAATAAAACAATTAGTATGCTTTTAAGTTTATATTTTAAAGACGGCAAAAGAATAATATAGAATTTGAAAAATATTCAGGTTACTGTAAGTATTTTATTTTTTTTTGCTCTACTATTATCAATTCAAGTGTCTGTTGGAAGGCTATTAGAAAGGTAATGTTTGATGGAACTGACTTTAATAAACTTTTTTTTCACTGCTTCCTTGTTGCTAAAACAAAATGAAAAGAAGAAAAGGAGAAAACTCAGCAGAACCATAATTTACTGAAAGCTATCCAGAGTTATATTTTCTTCCCTTAGAATTAAAGCCTTTAGCTTTAAAATCTAAGGAAGGAATAACAGCAGTGTAATGCTTTAAAAGGAAAAGAAGAGTTGGTCAGACAAATACAAAGTAAAATACATAAGAAGTAATTTCAAGCAGCACTGTGAATAGAGATGCAAAGGAGACAAAACAAAGTGGTACATTGTTTTCTGATTGCAAGGCTGTTTGAAGTAGAAATAAACACATCAGGTAGCCCCAATGATGTTTCTCACACTGATTCTCAAGAGATGACCATATAGCTGTGATCTCTTCATCAAAAGAGGTAAGTATACTTTTCCTGGCTGATTCAAATTTTTATTATTTTCGCTTTCTATATTCAGAAACAAATAATCAGGAATCATGAAATAAAGCATAGATTGAAGATGGAGTTTCCCCCCCTCTCTCACATAATTTACCTTGCGAGATTATAGCAACAGCACTTAAACTTATATACTGCTTCACAGTACTTTACAGCCCTCTCAAAGCGGTTTACAGCATATTGTCCCCATTTTTACAGATTTCGAAAGGATGGAAGCTGAGTCAACCTTGAGCCAGTGAGACCAGAACTGCCAAACTGCTGGCAACCAGTGATCAGCAGAAGTAGCCTGCAGTACTATATTCTAACCACTGCGCCACCGCGGCTCTTAAGATTATCATGATTTAGGAGAATCCGGAAGCGGCGCGGCGGTACTGGCTGGGAAAAATGTCAGGCTCCGACGAGCTCGGCAAAATCCAGCCAGACGAACCGTCACCGGGGGGGTCTTCGGACCGAAGCTGTCCTGTAGGGACAGCGAAGAAAGAGAGGCAGCTCGGTGTCTAAAGAGGGACAGGCAAGTCCCTTGGATAGCCCGAGAAACTCTCTCCGAGCCAGTGATGGGGGGCAGCGATCAGAGTGAATTGCCATGAAGCTGGAGCCTCTGGAGCAAGCAATGTGCAGGAGGGAAAATTTGGACAGAGTGCTGGTGTTGGGTGAATGATCGGCTAACCCACAGACAATAAAAAGAAAATTCTAAACATTTTCAACTACTAAACAATTACTAAAATTATCCTAGCGTGGAAATTGTGGCTAAATAGCGGTGGGGGGAGATGGCGGATGGAAAGAGAAAGTGAGAATGACAAGAGCACCATAGAAGAACCCGAATAAAGAATTAAAAGTGATTGACAAATGGAAATGTAAATCTGGAACTTGGATTCAATTTGGATTGGATTATAAACTGATTGGTGATATATAAAACTGAAAGAAGATGCGAAAACTGAATTTTTTCTCTTTTATGACTAGGTAAACACGGATGTGGATTACAAATAAAATGGCGATTTGTTAATTAGACAAGTGGAACTGTGGATTATAGAGACATATCTGCAGAAGGAAGAGCATGACATGGAATTGTTTTACTTTTAAAACCTTTAACTTTAAAAAAAAGATAACTGGCAAGAACTAAGGAGGATACGTTTTGCCTACAAGAGGACAGACTTTGATGATTATAAAAAAAGGACCTTAATGCAATTTAAAATTGGAATAACTCAACCCAGAAAGAATAAAATGGAACAGGAACTTAATGAACTGATAAAGACGATGTGTTTGGAAATAAAAGAAATGATTATAAATTTGCATGGAAAATCGAAATCTGAGGAGGCAAAGACAGAACTAGAATGCACTGAAGATGACTAACGAGAAACAAGAAAGAGAGATGGATAATGAAGAAGACAAAGACAAAGAGACTGACTATGGAAAATTAAATAATTGTAATATTAAATAAGGACAAAAAGAAAAGAAAGGAAAAGAGGGTGGAACAGGGAAAATACAAAAAACTTAAATGATTACACTGAGATTAACAGTGGAAAGATAAGAAAGGGAAAAGAGATGGAAAATAATAAGAAATAAATGACAAAATAAAAGATTTCATGATTTTAAAATACAAAATAAGCATACTAGGATTAACAATGAAGAGACACAAAAAAGGAAAGAGAAAGGAGATACAATGGGAAATATAGGGCAGAATAGGAGAGTGCAGAACTTTAAAATACAGAAGAAAGGAAGAAAAAGAGAAAACAAAAGGAAAAGAAGGAAAAGAGGGTGGAGGAGAAGGAAAAATATTTAAAATATAAATGATTACACTGGGAATTACAGTGGAAATATAAGAAAGAGGGAAAAGAGATGGAAAATAATGGGAAATAAAGGGCAAAGGTTTCACGATTTTAAGATACAAAATATTAATAATGAAAAGATACGAAAAAGGAAAAGAAAAGTAGAAACAAAGGGAAAATTATAATAAATGTCACATGCTCAATAATATTGGAGGTTTACAGAATAAGTTTTAACAATATGAATTATTATTATTATTATTATTATTATTATTATTATTATTATTATTATTATATTTCTATACCGCCTTTCTCCCGTAGGACTCAAGGCGGTGTACAGTCAAGAAAAATATAGACACACAAACATCATAAAATTGCTAATTAAAATTATTACTTAGTTTGGTCAATCAAATAAAACCCAGAATTAGATAACATTTAAAAAATAATTCACATGTTCGTATGTTTAGCCCCGCCTGTTGGAACATCAGGGTCTTGAGGGCACAGCGGTAAGCACGGAGATCAAGGATATTCCGTATCTCCGGGGGCAGTTCATTCCAAAGGGTTGGAGCCCCCACAGAGAAGGCCCTCCCCCTGGGAGTCGCCAGTCGACATAATTTGACTGACGGTACCCTGAGTAGTACCTCCCTGTGAGAACGAACCGGTCGGTGGGAGGCTATTGGTGGCAAAAGACGGTCTCGTAGGTACCCAGGTCCTAAGCCATGGAGCGCTTTAAAGGTGATAACTAACACCTTGAATCGGACCCGGAAGACCACCGGGAGCCAGTGCAGCTCGCGTAGGAGAGGTGTTACATGGGTGTAACGAGCTGCGCCCATAATCACCCGCGCGGCTACGTTCTGGACCAGTTGGAGCCTCCGGGTGCTTTTCAAGGGGAGCCCCATGTAGAGAGCATTACAGTAGTTCATACGGGAGGTAACTAGGGCATGAGTGACCGTGCGCAAGGCGTCCCGATCCAGAAAGGGACGCAACTGGCGGATCAGACGAACCTGATAAAAGGCACCCCTGGCCACGGCCGTCAAATGATCTTCTAAAGATAACCATGAATCCAGGAGGACACCCAAGTTGCGGGCCCTCTCTGTGGGGAGCAAGATCTCATCCCCTATTGTCAGTGATGGTACTAGCTGACTATACCGGGACGCCGGAAGCCACAGCCACTCGGTCTTGGAGGGGTTGAGTCTGAGCTTGTTTCTCCCCATCCAGATCCGAATAAATCAGTTGAGGGAAATGTAATATTTGGAATATTCCAAACTATATATTTGAAACATAACTAAAAAGAGAAAAGAAGACAAATTAATATTTTAAGAACTAATTGGATTGGGTAAAATGAGAAAGGATTAAGATGTGCTTTATAAATATATATTTGAATACGTGGAAATATATTGTTAAAATGTTTTGAGAAATATATTTAATGATTGAAATTGAATGTAAAACTGAAGGAAATTGAAATGATAAAAATGATTTAAATGTTATACTTGCAAGAAGTAAAGTAGAAAAAATATATTGGTAAAAGTAAAAAAAACAAGAGATTAGAAAAGTGTTTGAGTAAAGATTTGAAGGAAAAAAGAGAATAAGATGAAATATATTGTTAATAATTAAAAAGACAAGGGATCGGGGTTGCCTGGACTCCACAATGGAAAACATTAAATTGAAAATGAATACAGCAATAGAGAGAGATTAAGGAATTGGAGGGGAGCAGGAAGGAGAGAAAGGGATGGAAGAATAAGGAGGAAGGAAGGGAAGGAGAAGCAGAGTAAGAGAGAAGGTAAGACAGGGGGGAAGAGAGGAGGAGAAGGAGAAGGGAAGGGAAGGGGAAGTAGAGAAGGTGGGGAAAGAAAGTTGGAAGGAGAAGAGAGAGGCTAGGTTTGAGGAGAAAGATTGCTGTACAATAAAAAAAGAAGATGAAGTGGAAGAAAGGCAGCTCTGAACAAATAAATATAAATATATTAGGAAAAAGAATTAATTGTTAAAGAAGAAAAGAGAATAAATATGTACAACTAGCAAAGTTAGAATTTAGGGATAAATGAAGAAGGTATTTATATATGCAAGTATAGAAATACTGAGGTATATTCAAAAAAAAAGAAAGGGGGGGAAGACGATATTGACAAAAATTGTAATTGAGTAAAATGTATTTGAATTTGACTAACTGTATAAGATAAGAAACGACCAACACTCTGTTCAAAAAAAAAAAAAAAAAAAAAAAGAAAGATGTGGGTGAAGGTGGGAGAAGAGAAAAGAAAAAAAACCAATAAAACTTGTTTAAAAAAAAAAAGATTATGATTCATGAGATTATCATGAAACCAAACTACTACTCTGACAGAGAGAATATAAATATAATAAATGAATACTCGTATGGTATGTACCATGTTTCTGGTCTTATTTTCTTTTGTGCTGAAAATAAGCACTAGGGCTTATTTTCGGGGATGTTATATTCTTTTCACCTACAGGAGTGGAAGTGCTGCTATCGCCATCCCCGCCCTCTGTCTACTTGCCTGCAGCTGCAATGGTTCAAGCACTCAGCACAACCCGGCCTCTGCCTGCTGCTCCTGGGACTCTGGAGTTCGAGTCTTGCTCAGGCTGTTACTACAAGGCAGAAGGCCATGTGGTGCGTCAGGAGCAAGACGTGCAACTCAATGTTACCTGCAGTGGCCTCCCAGTGCAATGCTCTGCGGCAGTTCAAGAACAAACCTCCACCTTCCTTATGCAGGATTGCAAGGCTGGAGGTCTCTGCAGCTTCCGCTAATTAACCCTCGTCCTGGCAGGGCTGGCTTGGCAGCCAGGGAAGATGGGGTTTTAGGGCACAAAGGAAGAAGGAGAGATCTCCCCCTCCCTCCATCGCTCCAACGACCACTGGTGAAGCGGCCCGGGCAGGCCGGCGGCAGGGGAGGCACCCCAGAGGTTGTAGATCTGATCCGAGTTGCCCCACACCAGGCAGGAGCAGCCCAGCAGGCCGGCCAAGAGCAGTGCAGTCAGGAGAGCAGAGACCCTGCGAAGCCAGCAGCAGCAGGTGCAGCAGGCCCAGCAGCCGGGCAGAGGCACAGGGGAGAGACGATTCTGATGCACTGCATGGCCTTCTGCCTCGAACGGTAGCAGCAGCCTGAGCAAGACCCAAACTCCAGGCCTGGCACAGTGCAAACCGTGGTTGCCGCCTGTTCCAGAGCCACAAGGTGAGCTGCGGAAGAAAGGGGCCCTCAGCTACAAGGTTGCCTGGTGCCACAGGCAATGCCAGCGCTGGCTAGAGTGTGCCGGAAACATCTACAGGAGCCTGGAGAGACAGAATGAGAGGCAGCTCCAGGCCCTCACTGACTCAGCCGATCTGCAGGGCTGTGATTAAGGGGCAAAGCCTCCATGAGGTGACTGGGGAAGGGAAGGAGTCGTCATGCTCAGCGCCACCTCAGGGATCGCTCCCCTTGTTTGTGAGGGGACATGTGATTGGGCTGCCTCCTGTATTGGCCATGTCCACCCACTTCAGTAGAGCTTATTTTTGGGGTAGGGATTATATTAGGCACACCCTTAAAAATCAGGGTAGGGTTTATTTTCTGGGTAGGTATTATTTTCAGGGAAACACAGAATTTATAAATCATACTTGCATTAAAAATGTATAAGTAATTGTTACAATAAAAAAAGCCTTTCAATTTCTATCTTTGACATTTATCAGGATAATGACAACTGTTTTATTACAATTTTTGTAGAATTTGCCATGATTTGATTGCAGTGATAGTATAATTGTCATCTATACAGTCATTTGTATTTAGACTTCATTTTGTTGTCCATTTGTGGAATTCTTGTCATTAACCATAATAATATTTTTCTTGACAACCATTCAAATTTTCACCCAAAATAATTCATTTACCTACTGTTTCCGCAAAAGTTCTTCTCTGATTTTATAAGTAGTAACTCCTCTTGCACCAGCATAACGTAACCGCTGGTATTTAGCCTGTATATACAAGCCCTTTTGTACTAAATTTGATCTGAAGTGAGGGCGCCCATCAATAAAACTGTACTGTTGAGAAAAAAAATCATTTAATAGTTTTTAGAATCTTACCTGAGTAATGCTTAATAGACGAATCAAGTATTGTAAGTATAATTTGTATTTGCGTATACATGTATGTGTGCACGCGTGCTCACACACACACACACACACACACACACACACACACACACACACTACGGTTTTAAAGAAAAATGTTAGGCTTCTGCCCATATTCTAGTAAAAGGAACAAAATGTTTTTAAAAAATTATCCCCAAACCCCATTAGCTAGAATATCATCCAGAAACATTATTCAAGAAAACATCAGCAGGGGAGATAACGTTCCCTTTTATGTGTGGCACAACACACATAAAAAACGGGGTTTTGAATGAGTGCCTACAGCCTCCCTACCCCATTAACAATTATCATGTGCTAACTTTTTATGAAACTTTGTGTCTTATAATTTGAAATCATGATACACAAAATAATGTTCAGAAGTATAATACTGCCATTAATTTTCAAGAATATGTAGGAATAACTGGTCTTATTACTGATTATTTAGGAAATCTAGTATAATTATGATAATTATAGATGATTTAGCTGAACTAGGTTGGTCATCCTCAACATCCTAATGTTTTCCAAATATTATCATGTGCTAACTTTTTAAATTTTTGCTTCTTCTTGGTTTATCTACTGCCCCTTTAGTTCCATCAATCCAACTTTATATTCCCAAATTTAAACGGTTTAGATATTATTGGCGAACATTAAATACAACCTAAAAATAAAATTTACAACACATCAGAACACGTTATTAAATATCATTAAAAATTGAGAAAATATTGCTATGTCACACATATATTTAGAGACAATGTTTCATAGACACTAGTGCACATACAAAGGTCTCCTTGTAACCACTTCCTCTCTCTGGACTTTCGTTTTTCCAACTCAACAATAGAAGAAACAGGCTTCCTTTTCCGAGGTTAAGGAAAGTCCCAGAATCATCCCTCAAGATCCTCCAATAATAACAACAGCCAGCAAGCAGTTTTAGAAGACCGGCTTCCAGAATAATTGGTAAGCAGAAGCTGGGAAGCGGGGTCGAAATCACATCATTGTTGGATAAAACAGCTGTTTTGGAATTTACTTTTGAAATGGACAATAAACTGTGCTCTTCATTTGTTAAACGATTTATGAGACTATTATCCAAGTTAAAAAAGGTCTCTTTAGTTACAGCTTATCACCCCTTTTTGAAGCTCTGAATGTTTAGTAATTCTTTATTACTAAATGACAAGGAAGAGGATTGCTAGAGGCAGCCAAAATAAGGAAGCGTGGAGTACTTTTTCTCATGAAATATAAAGATAAAAGTTGTGGTATTAATCTACTACTTCTAAAATAATGTGTAGCCCTGTATTGTTTTCTTGTGGGTGGTTGAAATTTGCTGATTTTTATGGAATCTGATTGGCTAGGAAGAGGAATAAACAAACAAACAAACAAACAGATGTCTTTCATCACTAGAGGGAGCTACGAGGATGCTTAATTCTGAGTTGGAGTCTGTTATTAAGGACATTTTTATGTCACTTAATGATTCCGTCAATGTTTCAGTTTTGAATTTTAAAAAGTTGTTTCAAATTTAATTAGATATCTACTTTCCTATTGTGAATAGAAACAGGACATATTTATTTTTTAAACGAAGTACTTCTATAACAGGAATATTTTCCTAGGATCATAGCACTTTTTTTACTGGAGTAAACTAATTTTTTAAGAAAATATAGTTCATTCAGTTATTCTAGTTGTAATGACCTTCTATTGTCTGTGTGGTAATATTCAACGGTAACTATATTGTAAAGAGAAAGGTACTTCTACTGATCCAGTAGAATTCCGTAAAATTAAAATTATACCTTGATGGGTCTTTGAACTGTTTCAGGATTTTCAATTTGTCTTTTAAATCGGTTGGTTGCAATATCAGCATGTGAATTTTCAGTATAATGGCTCTATATTAAAAGAAAATTGCAATGATTGATTGAATATTTACGTTTTTCAAATTATAAGCTCTGCAAATCCGACATAAATAATGCTTATTTTTCCTCCTTAACAAAAGCAATAAAAGGAAAAAAAGTCAGGGTGCGTTTCCTCATCTTCAATAGTTTAACATACAGAGAGAGAGGGGGGGAGGGAGGGAGGGAGAGATAGACGTGGCTGAATAGTGTAGTGGCTACACTATTTGTAGCCTTTGATGTGGGAGACCAAGGTTCAAATCTCGACTGTTACCTACTTTACCAATAGGGGTCCTTAGGCAAAGACCCCCTAACACTCATTGTCTATACCTCAAATATGAGTGACATGAACTAGGAGAGTCATGCCAGCTCAGATGAGGCCCTGAAGTTAACAAGGTCTCTGTCAGATCTTGGGGAACCAGAACAATCTGACGACAAATGGGCTACTGGAAGAAACAATTGATAGACTTACACAAGAGAATCTGGAATTGATGGAATGCTATTACAACAGTAGACCTAATGAGAGGGGATATTTGATGACAGAAAATCTGCATCCACTCTAACTGAGAAACAGCTAGTTACTCAACATTTCAACACAGCAAAGAGGAAACTGCTCTCACAACTTGAGATAAATCAACTATACATTAGATGAACTACACATTACATTCCAGACCCCAAAAGACCCAGAAGAACAACTGGATGTGCAGCCACACCTGAAACTGGAACATCACTGCCACCGCCTCCATTACAGAGCACGGTAGGTGATATGAGGTATAAGATCATTGATAAACTAGCTACAATCAACCCTCAAGGTGAATTATCAGGGGAGAAGTTATCATCAGATAGTATGCTAGAAGATTCCAAAAGAGCCCTCACAAAATCCCTACTACTGCCATAACTCAAACCAATGAACTGCTGCAGATTACAGCAGCTGCAATCTCAGAGACGTTTGGCTACACAATCAGAAGAACAGCAGTATATCCTCACCCCCACCGGCCGAAAATGAGGTTAGAGGTTAATATCAAGACAACTTGTAGAGAGGTTAGTCAGTTAGTGGAATTATAGAAAGGTGTAAAACTTAGGGATATTTATAGTCCACCCAAATACAGACTAAGCCCAGGGGTGAAATTCAAAATTTTTCCCTACCGGTTCTGTGGGCGTGGTTTGGTGGTCATGTGACTGGGTGGAGGGACGTGACCAACTCAATGTCACTCCCACTTAGTCACATGGCTCCCCCCAGCCACACCTGCCCAGGTTTTGTGGCTCCCGGTGTTTTCTGTGGGAAATGGGTCATGTGACTGGGTGGGCAAAACCAACTTGATTGGTCTCGCCCTTAGGAAATTTCTTCTTAGTCCAACTCACAATAAAATAGCACTGTTCCAATATTTAGAATAGAATAGAATAATAAAGTTGGAAACGACCTTGGAAGTCTTCTAGTCCAACCCCCTGCTTAGGCAGGAAACCCAAACCACTTCAGACAAATGATTATCCAATCTCTTCTTAAAAATTTCCAGTGTTGGAGCATTCTGGAGGCAAATTGTTCCACTGATTAACTGTTCTGTCAGGAAATTTGAGGGGCTCCTACAAAAATGAGGGAATCAATCTCTTTTCCAAAACACCAAAAGGCACAAGAAACAATGGATGGAAACTAACCAAAGAGAGAAGCAACCTAGGACTAAGGAGAAATTTCCTAAGGGTGAGAGCAATCAACCAATGGAATAGCTTGCCTTCAGAAGTTGTGGGTGCTCCACCACTAGAGGCTTTCAAAAAGAGTGAGGGAAGTACACCCCAGGACGACAGTGCCAGAAACAATGCAGGAAACTTAAAATAACCATTCCCATTTATGTCCACAAGAAAAAAATTGGTTACCAAATTATGTCAACTGGTGCCAATTTTTTTGAGATATCTATAATAATACATTTACTCACATCCTTATTGGCTCACATCCTTATTTACACATGTAAATTAGGTTTGAGATCATGTATTTTCATAATAGAGATGTCTATTGCTGGTCGATGACTGTAATAAAGTTTTATTCTATTCTATTCTAGCCATTCCCATTTTTAAAAAAAGTAAACCCCAAAGCAAAAGCAGCAACTGAGAGGGAAACTAAGAGCAGCTGCTCAGGCTAATTGAAAGCCTGGGCATGCTGCCAAATGCCATTAACCCTTCCAACTCTATATTCTATGTTCTGTGTGTTCTAAATTGGGTGCTTCACAGCAGAAGCAATATAGCTGGCTGGACCACACATGCATTAAATTCATGGCCTGTATGATCAAGTTGCATCATTGTCCCCTCCTGTATCTTTTCCCCCAGGAAGAAACAAGAAGTAGCCAACATTGTAGCAGCTATAAAAGGTCTTGGGAAACTCCAGGGAGTATCAACTGATCACAGAAGTGTTACTTAATACTCTTTATAGTGAAAAAGTTTGTAAACTTGTCCTTCTTCCTGAAGGGAAGAAGTTAATCCCATCTCTAGATGGATAATTGATGGGTTTCCCTGCCCTAATCCTGTCAGTTTCTGCTGTTTATTGACTTGATTCAGCATGTATCGGCTGCATTCCAACTGCAACTGTTAAGTGAGCTATTAACTGAAGGGAGAGAGAGAGAGAGAAAAAAAACCTGTTCTCCGAACTGCCTAAGCAATTTTAACGGTTCGGGCGAACCAGTGAGAACCAGCTGAATTTCACCTGTGACTGAGCCATCTGGCTTGATAGGCATCACTATGAGTGTCTCCCACTTGGCATAGTTGACGGGTTCCAAGACTCCTTGGGCAATCAGCTTATCTAATTGTTCGTCTACCTTGGAATGTAGAGCAAATGGGCCCCTGCGTGGCTTCATGCGTATAGGTGTGACCTGAGGGTCCAGGTTGAAAGATATGGGCGTTCCGGTATATTTGCCCAGGTCTCCATTGAAAACATCAGCGAACTCCTGAATCAGGGTCTCAACATTGGAGCTACTGATAGAGTTGATACCAATAACTCCCAGGCCCAAAGAGGAAAACCAGTTCAGCCCCAACAGGCTTGGTAGGGCACCGTCTTCTATAATCAGTCACAGGTGGCCTACAAAGTTTTAAAATGAGACTTGAAAGGTTCTGCTTCTGATGACCGGAATGCTGTTGCCTTGATAGTCTCAGAGATGAAGGCGTTGATGTCTCAGTTGGCTTTTGGAGAGTCTCAGAACTAACTTCTTAATTGTGCTCCACGAGATGATGGTCATGGAGAACCCGGTATCTACTTCCATCCGACAAGAGGCACCCTCGATTAGGACGGTTACATTAATTTTTTTTAAATATGTGAGGTTGGCCTGTCCAATGAAAGGTTCTGCCCAACAGGTGCCTTTGAAGATAGCGTAACACTCTTCCCCGTTTCTGTGGTTTCTGTTGTGCCCTTCGGTTGTAGGGTAGGCTGGCAGGTTGGCTGGCAAGACAGACTTTAGCTAAATGTTCTTTTCTGTCACACCGTTGACAAATAGCATTTTTGAGCTTGCATGGTGCTCTTGGGTGGTTGCCGCCACAACCCATGAAGGATATTTCTCCTTTCATTGGCTGTGCCTTGTCTCCTTGATGATTTTAAACGGTAGACGTCATCATCATCAGTTGGCTCTTCCTGATCTAGATCATCATGGTGAATGGTAACTGTTTTTCGTGAGGATGGCGGACTATTTGATTTTTGTATTTCCTCCGTTGCTCCGCTGGAGCGAGGAGAGCTCTGGCTATCTCAAAAATGTCCGGGCCACAGTAGCTAAGGAACAATGCCCTCTTCCGATTGTCAGAAATGCCGGTGAAATCATTGGCTTCAAGGAAGCACTCGAATCGCACTATATACAAGTCCCATGTCTCCAAGGCTGGGCTGAATGGGAAGAACAGCATTAGTGCAGCCATTTCTAGAAGACCGATGCGAGCCAGGCAATCTGAAGCCAATCTGTTGATGGTCAATAAATGGTGCTGCAGCGAACTATAGATCGTCTCCGACATTCAGCTCTTTGAGGGGACGGTGATCAGCTCTTTTTGGTCTTAATTCTCATTCAATCCCACCTTCGTCGCCAGTGTTAGATTTTGGGTTTGAATGGAAGAGACGCAGAGTGATCTTCAGTTAGGCTCTTTATTCAGTATAGTAAAACAACCAGCAAAACTTCTGGCTGACCGCGCTCCTTTTATAAGGAGCTGTCAGCCAGGCAACCAATCAATTTAAAGCAATTCTCCCACTTAAACAGCGGACCTGAGTGAAGACTTCAGCTCTTGGTTTCAGTAATTAATTACAATACGTAACACACCCAGCCCAGACATAATCCAGACCTAATGGTTAAGAAACTAACAGCAGTGGATGAATGTTTAGCAGCACGGATGAACCAGCTGCTAGCAGCAGGCTCCCAGCCAGAGTGACTAACTGAGGGAAGGATAGTGCTGATCATGAAAGACCCCCATAAGAGAACAGCACCAGCCACTATCAGCCAATAACCTGCCTCCCTACAACATGGAAAGTCCTATCAGGCATTATAGTCATTGAGCTACAGGACCAAATGAGCCAATTTATCAGCACAGCTCAGAAAGGCATTGGAAACAACACCAGAAGCTCAAAACACCAATTGCTCAAGATAGAGCAGTTGTCCAAGAGTCAAGGTCTAGACCATGGGTGTCCAATCTTTTGGCTTGTCTGGGCGCCATTCAGTGAAAAGGAATTGTCTTGGGCCACATATAAAATATGTAATACAGTTTTATAATATAAAATCATATGCTGAAAGTTTATGATCTTGTGTCCAGGGCCACATGCAACCAGTGGTAATGGGTTGGACATTCCTGGTCAAGACCAATCAGTCCAATCTGATACAACCTGAATTGACTACTGGAAAACTTGCAACTCATTGCCCACACACATACAAATCTGTGAATGCCTCGCACTATGCAAAGGCAACAGGATACTAAGGACCTTCCTCAAGAACTCAATTTAACTATAGAAAACAACATTGGGATTCAACTCAAGACAGCTCATACAAGGGGTCACCAAATGCTGCATATACCATATATATCACTGAGAGATTCTAGGGCAGTGGTGGTTAATCTTTTCGGCACCGGAGAAATGGCAACAGCTATGGGGAAGAAATTGTAAATTAACAATGGCAACAGCTTATAAAGAAAACCTGTATAAGCTGTTTTATAGATGGCATATGCCACCAGAAAGATTAGCTAAGATGTTTAAAGATAAATCAGACAAATGTTGGAAATGTCACCATTTGCCGGGATCATATTATCATATGTGGTGGTCGTGCAAAGAAGCAAAGTACTATTGGGTTAAAATACAGACATGGTTAGAGGGAATGCTGCAGCAACATATAGAGTTAAGACCAGAGATATTTCTATTGGGGATATTACCAGAGAAATATGGTAAAGAAGATACATATTTGATTATTTATATAATAACAGTGGCCAGAATTGTATTTGCACAGAATTGGAAAGCAGATAAAATCCCGTTGGAAGGAGAAATTATAAAGAAAATTTTAGAATGTGCAGAAATGAACAAACTAACACTGAGAATAAAAGATAAAGAGGAGTCGATGTATTTCAAGACATGGGGAAAAATTTATGATTGGTTAGAAAAGAAATATGAATAAAGGTATGGAGATAAAAAAATGAAAAAGAGAAAAAAATAATTCGAAAAATAGAAACCCAGACTAGGAAAAGGGAAAAGGGGGAAGGGGGGGAGGAAAAAAGTGAGATTATTATAAAAGTGTACACAAATGATGAAACAGATGTAATTACTAAACAAATAAGAAACTGAAATGAAGATGGATGCAAATAGATAATCGGGGCTGTTCAAATACCATTCTAGATTGAATTGAAAAGGGAAACAACAAGAGAAAGGGAAAGGAGTAGAGGAAGGAAGAAGAGAGGAAAGGAGAGGAAGATAGAAGAGAGGGAAAAGGAGAGGAAGAAAAGGAAGGGGAAAGAGGAGTAGGAGAGAGGGTTAGAAAGGGAGGAAGAAGAGAGGAGTGGGGAAAGGGAAGGGGAAGTAGGAAAGAGAAGGAGACAAAGAACGAAGAAAGTAGGAAGAGATGGAGGAAGAGAAGGGGAGGAGAAGAGAAAAGGTTGTGGTAAAATAAAGGAGGGTAAATGGTAAAAGAGCAGCCCCAAACAACTAAAAATGAAAGTTAAAAGATAAGATGAATGGAAAATGATGGATAAAAGATTGTACACTCAAATATGCTTATGAGAAAAATAAAAAACTTTTTGGAAAAAAAACCCCTTTTTGGCACCAAGTGCTGGAACTGGAGCGCATGCACACGCACACACCGGAGTGCTGGAACCCGAAGAGAGCAGCTAGCTGGTATGCATGTACGCGGCGGCCAGCTACACTTCTGGGTTCCATCGTGCACATGTGTGATGGCCAGCTGGTCTGGCACGCATGCGCACTGGTCAGTTGCTCTCTTCCGGGTTCAAGCATGTGCATGCATGCCGGCCAGCTGGTCTTCATGCAAAGATCAGCTGGCCGGCGCGCATGCATGAGACGAAAACCGAAAGACAGCAGGTGGTGACGGCGTGTGTGCCCACAGAGAGGGGTCTGCATGCCATAGATTCGCCATCATGGTTCTAGGATATGGCTACCCTGAACCCCTCTCCCCCCTCCTCCATCTATCTGTGCAATCTCTTAATTTGGGCTTATCTCACAGAAAGCTCTGTGTTGCCAAAATTCTGATTAATTAATTCTCCAGGTGTACATTTCATCACAGTTTCTCAGTCACATGGGAGCCATGAGGAAGAGGCAAGTAAAACAGCAACATCCAAATACTACCGAAGGACAATACAGGTCCTGAAGAGTCAGCTCAATGCTATTAACATTTATACCCTGCCAATCATCATATACCCTGCCAGTATAGTGAGCTGGTTAAAGAAGGACATGGAAGCTGCTGATGTGAAGAGTTGGAAGCTCTTCACAATTTATGGCATTTCCATTCCAAGTCCAACACCTAGAGACTGTACGCCAGCTGAAAGAGGGCACACATGGCCTAATGAGTGTCAAAGCCACTGTCCTGGATAAAACACAGAGCATCCAGGAGTAGAATTTCAACAAGGTCGCAAGATAGGTGTTGAGAAAAAAAGACGCACATTAACTGCCAAAGATTTGAGACGAATCAAATGTGAAGCTACCAGGAATCCATTATCTTCCAGCGCTGGCATATTCCAGAACTGCAACCTACCTGGAGTGCCCAGAAATACAAAATGTTCACTGCTCAGAGATATGGCCCAGGTAAGTAAGGCTGAAACCCAACCACTACACATAACAGGAAGACTGGGCCAAGAAATATCTGAAGAGAGATTTTTCAAAGGTTTTATGGACTGATGAGATGATGTGACTCTTGACGGACCAGATGGATGGACCCATGGCTGGATCAGTAATAGGCACCGAGCTCCACTTCAGCTCAGATGCCAGCAAGGTGAAGGTGGGGTACTGGTATGGGCTGGTATTATTAAAATATGAGCTAATTGGACGTTTTTGGGTTGAAGATGTACTCAAAATCAACTCCCAAACCTACTGCCAGTTTTTAGAAGACACTTTGTTCAAGCAGTGGTACAGGAAAAAGTCAGCGTCTTTCAAGAAGACCACGATTTTTATGTAGGACAATGCCCCATCATATGCATTAAAGTACTCCACTGCATGGTTAGCCAATAAAATTAAAGATGAAAGGATAATGACATGGCCCCCTTCCTCACCTGACTTAAATTCTATTGAGAACTTGTGGGCCCTTTTTAAACGGGAGATTCATGGTGAAGGAAAAGAATGCACCTCTCTGAATAGACGATCTGTTGATTGTCAACAGATCAATAAACTGACAGACTCCATAGTCTGGTAGGCTTATGACTGTTATTGAAAAGAAGAGTGGCTATATTGGTCACTGAATTTTTTTTTAAATGTCAGAAATGTTTATTCTTATATATTGAATTATTTGTGTATTATTCACTTTAACAGATGCAAATAAATGAGATGGGCAAATTTTCATTTTTCATTTAGTTGCATAATTCTGCACACTAATAATTGCCCAATAATTGTGCACACATATTCTCCCAAGAAAGCCAAAAACTTTTATTTTCTTAAAATATTCAGGTTTGAGGTTTATTAATATTTTGGATTTACCAAGCGCACTATAGTTATTCAATAATAAAATTAATCCTCCAAAATACAACCTGCCTAATAATTGTGCACACAGTATATGTCTACAGATTCTTCAGCTACAAATGATATTATGCTTTTCTGCCTTATTAAGTTCAGTTTGAAATTAAAAATAAAATCTATAGTCTAACCCAATTTACTCTAACAACTCTACTTAGGGTGTGAATTATTTCAAAAAGTGACACACAATTTGAAGTGTTTTTTATTTTGTTTTTTTGCAGAAGATATGCAATGAACCTAAATCTGTATTTTCTGTATAAAATCTTGTCAAGTACATATTTTTTTACCTATTTTTCAGCTGTTCACACATTATTCTAGAAAAAAAAAAAGGAAAAAACACTCAATACTCTTTCTCGGCTTATGATATAATGTGCATGTAATTTAACAGATTAACAGAATTGGAAGGGACCTTATAGGTCATCTAGTCCAACCCCCCGCTCAAGCAGGAGGCCCTACACCATTTCTGACAAGTGGCAGTCCAATCTTTTCTTGAAAGCCTCAAGTAATGAAACTCCCACAACTTCTGAAGGCAAGCTGTTCCATTAGTTAATTGTTCTCACTATCAGAAAGTTCCTCCTCATTTCTAGGTTGAATCTCTCCTTGGTCAGTTTCTATCCATTATTCCTTGTCATTATAAGGTATCTTAAACACCTGCAATTTTTTCCAAAATCTCTAAAGCTGAAAAAAGAGTCTTTGCATCTTGCTTTAAATAAAGATAAGCCGTCATTAAATGATAAACAAGAAAAAATATTTAATTGTATTTATAATCTGCCCCAAGATTATAGGAATCTCGGCAGTGTATAATAGCAAACAAAGCCACAACAAAAACATCACAATGAAAACTCTGTCAAAATAAATGGAATTGTGAAAGCATTGTACACAACATTGTACAATATTCCTAATAACTTACCATGTATGGTTTCTTAATAAATTTTCTGAAAGGCTGACTTGGGAATCTTGGTGATTTCTGGTATTTGTATGCTTGAGTACTCCGAAGTTTTACAAAGCTATTATTTTGTGCATGCCTAAACAACAAAATATTTCAGTGTTTATCAATTTAAATAAATTCATTTAAATTGGCCCAGTAATATACAATTTAAATCAAACATAATTTATGAAAACTGATAAATTCAACAGTCATCTGATATGTCTAACAAACATGCTAATCATAAAGTATTCTTGCTTGTGCAATATTTTATATGTTGAGAATAAGTACATTACTATGTGCAGATTATCAAGCACCGTTAAGTATTTGCGCAAAGAACTACCCTAATATTTATTCTCTTCTGAAATTTCAGTTTACAGAGTTCAATGTAACACTCTAAAATAATCTGTTTTAGAAGATTAGTATTTTATAATTATTCTATATCTATTAAATTATTATTGCATACTGAGACATCATAGTACATCTTTATCTATTTGAAATTAATCCAATCATTTTAGACCAATTCAGACAAATCCATTTAGACCAAAACTGTTCATGATCAAGTCTGAACCAAACATTCCATAAATACAATCTGAGATGTTAGTGATTCAAAGATACACTATAGTTATTCAAATATAACATAAACGCCAAAACTCCTGCCAAAATGTCAAAATAAACAAGAAATAGTTTTGGATGATCTTCCAATTTGGAAAGGAACTGAAATAGGGAAGCAGCCACCAGCAATCTTTTTCTATGGCCTCATAAATAGATAAGTTAAATGGATATGAATTCAACAGTTTGGGCCAGTGGTGGAGTTCAAATTTTTTTACTACCAGTTCTGTGGGTGTGGCTTGGTGGGTGTGGCAGGGGAAGGATACTGCAAAATATCCATTCCCAAAAAAGTACATTGCATTTCAGGCGGTGGCTGGTTCTGGCCGCTGCTGCAACCCAAAAACGCTTTCCTCCCTGGTTCCCCGATGCACATTGCAGAGTCATGTGCCTTCCACCTCCTTCTCCTCAGACTCACTTTCTCTTTCCTCCTGGCCAGATCCGTCACCTGAAATGCAATGCACTTTTTTGGCCTCCACACACCCCGTTTTTGGAATCGGGGAGGAAAGCGGATTTCGGGCGGCAGCACTGCAATCCCCTCCACGAATCCAAAAATAGGGCGTGCGGCTGGCACTGCCACCTGAAAATGCTTTCCTCTCTGGTTCCCCGATGCACATCGCAGAGCCACGCACCCTCCTCCTCCTCCGCACTCACTTTCTCTTTCCTCCTAGGCCAGGAGCAGAAATTGTCCGCCCTCCGCTTGAGTCGTCTGGGGAAGGGGCAGGCAGAGCAGCCAGCCGCCTTGCTTTACACCTCCTGCGCAGCGCCCAAAACCGTGATGCTCTTTTGTTGCCTCCGCACGCCCCGTTTTTGGAATCGGAAAGGCAGAGGAGATCTGTAGGCAGCGGAGATTACGGCAACAGTGTTTTTGGGTGGCAGCCTTGCCCCTTAGGCAGCGCCCGCTTTGCCAACCAAGTCCCAACCTCCGCGCTTCCCCGGGCTGCTTCCGGAATCAGGCTCTGACCGAGGCAGCAAAGGCGCAGGGGGCTTGCCGGGAAGCCTGGCACCATATTTATGAGATGGAAGCATCCAGGAGGACTGAAGTGCTGCGTCTCTATCGGGCCTTGCTGCAAGAAAGCCAGGCTTTCAACGCCTATGGCTATAGGTAGGAAGACGGGGGCGTCTCGAGAGTGGATCCTTCAGTGCCAAGTCCCTCTTCTGCCCCCATGAAAATCATCCTCTCCCCACCCCACCCACTCCAGTTAAATGCACGTAGAGTGATACGGTGTGTTTTAAATGGATAAAAAGATCTGTGCTACTTGTTATCAAAATCCGAATGGAAGTGAGGACGCCACTGATCCTGATGCTGGTAGGCAGAGGCAGAATTCTTTTTTTCTTGTTTTCCTCCCCAAAAATTAAGGTGTGTCTTATAGCCCGGTGTGTTTTATAGTCCGGAAAATACAGTAGTCCTTGACTTATCACTATTCATTCAGCTACCATTCAAAGTTACAATGTTGCTCAGTGAAAGGACTTATGTCCAGTTCCTAAAGTTATGGCTAACTCCTGTGGTTGCATGATTGCAACTTGGGACCTGGCAATCTATTTTCCCTTATGACTAGATTGTAGTTGCCAAGTGCCCTGCAATCATGTAATTTCCATTTGCAATTTTCCTGCTTCCTCAGAAAGTCAATGGAGAAGCCAGCAGGGAAGTCACAAACCACTGCTGCCTTCTGGGAATTTTCTCTCGTCTCTGGTAGCTAGCTGAAAAAGCTCTATGTGAAAATCCAAGCATGATTTTGGCATGGAATGTTTTCAGTCAGTCCCTAGAATCAAGAGGACTCTCTTGACCCAGACCTTTTTTGGCCAGCCTCCAGAAACAAGAGGGAGGCAGCAGAGGTTTGGATTTCTGCATTGAGGCTTGGATTTTGGCACAGACCTTGTCAGCCAACCCACAGAGATGAGAGGTAGTCCTCTTGGCATGCGGCAACAACTTGTATGTGTGCAACAGATTTCTGCATGTACGCTTTGATTTCTACACAGATACCTGCTTGGATTTTGGCATGGAACTTTTTCAGCCAGTCACTGGAAACAAGAGGAAGTCCTTTCCACTCTAGAGGCTGGGCTGAAAACATCCCATGGCAAAATCCAAGTAGAATTTTCAGCCATGGAGGATTTTCAATCTCAGGATGGAAAGACTTGAGAACCTCTTAACTTTGGAGCTGCAAATCTAAACAATTCCAATGCCTTCATGCACTCTCTGCAATACCCACCACCACACTGTTGCTTTCTCCCCCAGCCAGTAGGGTCTGAGGTCTGCAACTTTCTGCCAGCTTCTCCACTGACCTGATTGTGGGAAGCTAGCATGAAGTTGCCTGACCTAAGACTGGAGCATTCACTTATCAATGACAACTGCCTGGATTGCCACTGCTAAGCAAAGTGGTCACATTTTACAATAGCATCACTTAGCAACCAAAATTTTGGTCCCAATTGTGGTCATGCAGGACTACCTGTAATGAAGAAATAGATCTTGGGTGTAATGGTGAACATCTGCTGTAAAACAGACCAACAGCATTTTAGGGATAATAAGAAGCAGTATTGAAAGTTGAGATGCCAATAGCGTAATGCCCTTATATAAACCAATAGTGCTATTATCTCTGGGCTGTTGTGTGCAGTTTTGGTCATCACACCCCAAAGACGATACAATGGAGCTACAGAAGTTTCAGAAGGGGGAAACCAAAATTTGTTAACTATAAATGTGATAAATACAGGTAATCCCCAGGTTACAAGCGTTCCCTTAGCGAATGTTCAAAGTTATGTGATCAACGCCCTCTAGCATTTCCGAACAAGGCCCGAAACTATAAATCTTGCAGTACCATGGCAGTTATTCGCCTTAGACCCGGCCTCCGGAGGCTCCATTTCGGCCAGCAACGGGCTGGGGGAGGCCCAGGGAAGGCCGGATCTGGCGTCCAGAGGCTCCATTTTGACCTGCACCGGGCTGGGAGAGGCCCGTGGGGGGTCGAACGGAGCATCGGAGGGACGCATGAGGTCAGAAGGAGACTGCTTGCTAGATCTTCATAAGGTAAGTGACCCAGCGCGGCAGGTTGGGGGGGGGGAAGCAACAGGTGGCCTGTTCCACTGGTAGGCTCCCCATGGCCTTCCCAACCCTGAAATACCTCATGTGCAATTAACAAGTGCATTCTAGTTGCATTCAGTTAGTGAATGCATGGGCGAAAGGAGGGAGTGATCTCATTCAAGGTATGAGATTCACTCCCATGAATCCTCGGGTTACGAATGGAACGGGCAGGCTCCATTCCATTCGTAAGTCAAGGATTACCTGCAAATAGAAATTTACAATGTTTTCATCTCAACTAAAGTGTACTGCAAATTAGCACAAATCTTTGTTTTGGTAAAATAAAGGGGAAAAGTTTAGATGGATTTAAGACAGTATCCTATCTCGGTTGCTTGTATTCACATTATTATATGGCTGAGGTCTAAATAAAACCAAGTACCTGCTGAAAGGTGAAAGCAAAAATGTCTAATGAAAAATGGACTAGTTTTGAAGAGCTGGGACACAGAAAGTGTTTTTTTCACAGAGGCATAGGCATATCAAAAATAAATGGGCACTGTCTTTGGAAAAAGCCTAAATCGGAATAACATGATGGGTTCTACTCTGTGACCACTATCTCAAAGTATATTCATGACGCCAAAATAAAATAAAAAAATTCATCTGTCTATGCAGGTGGGAAACAACTATTTCAAATCAGATATGAAAGAACAGCATGAGTACATATTTTTGTACGCCATTAATACATTTTCTTCCTCAATTTCCAATATAGGAGATCAGATATTTTACAACCAAACTAGTTCATATGTCTTCCATAGTCCAAACTATATCATGCTACTATAACTTATTATAGTAAGGGTATCAGGGGAAGGAAAAGAATAGTAAAAAGCTGATACTAACATCAAAATTAATTTAAATGTATCTTCTAGCAATAGGATAAAAACCAAAGGAACACTATGAATTTTTATGTGGATTATGATACTTCACTAAAAACTGCAAACAGAAAATAAAGATAAAGTTACTCAAACCATAACTTCAAGATATATATCATGAAAATAGCATTAGAATGTAATAGTGTGGCTATAGTATTTTAACTCCAACTATTATTTCTCTTGAGAACATCTACCTTTGTGGGATATTAATGTAAAATATATTTTCATCTTCATTCTCCAGTCTCTGTTTTCTTCGCCTCTCTATGTCATGTCTTAAATCATTTGGGTCCTCTAGAACTCTCACAACATTCTAAAAATAAAATAAATGGATTAATGAATTAAAACTTTTATTTTTATTCTCACCTAAATTTAGTATAAGACCAGTATTAGAATAAAATAAAGCAAAAAGTGTTACATTTCACAGAAATGATTTTTTTTAATTCAATTTCTATAGTCGCCCATCTCAATCCAATTAACTCTGAGCAACAAACAATATTACAACAATTAAAACCATAAAAACACTAAAACAAGAATTATCATAATAATTACACTGAAATTAACAATGCAACCATCTAACCGGGCCTCTAACAGGATTCCATTACAAATTATACATTAGAGTTACTGCAGTAAAAAAATCTCATTCAATTATTAAAATCAAATTTGGTGAACTTGAAATTCTCAGCCAAATCTACCTCACATGTTTGAAAACAGAATTACATACATCCATTTCAGGAGCCAATTGGAATAAAAAATGCTTTCAATAAAAAATAAAGTTACCTCATTTTTTCAGTAAGATAGGGTTACATGCTGAACAAATAAACATATTATGGAATCATTAAAATAAGACACTTTATCCTGTTGCTGAAAATGTTTTTTCATTAGGAGATAAATATACATACCTGTCCAGACTCACACAAATTAGCTCGTTTGTTCTGAAGTTCTGCCAGAGACATATCAATCCTCCTAATGACCAAGCAAATAAGTATCAATAAGCTATATGGGGGAAAGAAAACTACAACAGATACTACATTACACAAAATATACTTAAATAATGCAACCTGCTGCAGGTCTACTTTTTTAAAATCTCAGAGTCCATGTTGGTCATTGTGCAGGAATGCATTTATTTAGACCATTCTAAACATGAATAGAAAGAGTAGGATATAACTAGATTATAGAAATAACTAGGAAGAGCCAGAAAATGAGCCAAGAAATGTTTTTAGTGGAAAAGACAGATACCACATGCTGGATATATTTTAAGTTTGCAAAATTATTTGTTGTTTAATCAACTAAAATGAATTTTATGGGTTGAATACATTTACCTTACCTGTGAATCTCTGGATCCAAATGTCTTTTAACTTCATTTGCCTCTGATATATCTTGTATTTTTGAGAAGCGCTCATTTAAAGTTAGGTCAGAAGATTTAAAATAATTTGCTGTGAAGTCAATGAAGAAAAAAAGCTAATTCTACAAGCAGTAATATTATTAGCAAATGAAATCTCCACCCTGAAGATCATATCTTAACCCTTGTAATTTTTAAAGCCATATATTCCTTAATAAATTTGTAATGGTAGCGTACAGCATACTTGTATTTTATTTCAATATAGCCTTCAAAATCTACTCAATAATCCTTTCATCTGAAGGGGCCCATATAAACTTTACTACTTAGACAGCCAGATCAAAGTGCAGAAAGATCAAATTGATATACACTTCAATTAAAAATTCTCTCAAGTGTGTGTGTGTGTGTGCCATTTCTGTGCCCATTAGTACTCAACAGTATTTTTTAAAGTATTAACTTGATCTATATATGCATGTACAAAGCCATTATGGCTAAACTTCAATTGTTTAAAAAAATCCCACTACCTCTAATTTAAAAAGTGAAATAGTCTTTCTTGAATTTTTTGGTAGTAATCTCATACTACTTTATGCAACAGCTACAACTTTTCACATGTCTTGGATTACCTTGGTTAATGACATACAAAATATTTTGATTACTAGTGATGATACTACAAAAAACAGGATATTTTTAACTTTCTGTAACCACCTTTAACTTGGTGGATAATTCTGATGATTTCCTGAGCAAATTCTTTTGATGGGTTTTGTTCTACCTTCTGTGTCACAGATTTTATATGTTCAAATACAGGATGAAAACTTTCAGGTTTTTTACCCACAGCTACTAGGTCACATGATGTCTGCCTCTCCATGATATGACCAGAAGCTCCCCTGGAATAAATTTAGGAAAGTTTAAAAAATATTCTGTTAAAATAACATTTAAAGTATTTGAATAAAATAGCAAGAGAGATTAAAAAAGGAAAATTAAGACTAATCCACATAAAAAGAGCTTCTAGATAGAAATGATCCTTGGCTCCATTTGTTGAGAAAGGTAATTTTATTAGAGAGCAAGCATATTGCAGCATTGCATAGCCAGAACTAAGAATAGCACTCCAAAATCCGAGTTCTTCTCACCCCTCCCTTTACTGTCTCTCATTGCCCACTTTAGTGTAACCAATCAAGTTTGTGCAAAATGTTTTCATAACTGTCAGTTCAAATGCACGTTGGTATGCAGCTCCCTTACTCTTCCAGCTTGATAACTTTGAGGCAGCCTTTCCATGAAGTACAATTTCTACTTTCTGTTTCCTAAGCATTCCCCTCCCCCTCTCCACAGTTCATGGCAGTCTGTCAACAAACAGTGAAGCACAATGAAGGTGGCAGCTGACACATTATTATCTTGTACTGCATTGGCATTTTCCTATATTTTCTTCAGAGTCACAAAACCATAGTATAAGACTTACAAAGTGCTCAAATTTCATTATCTGAGTTTCTGTTATAGCAAATCTAGAAAATAATGCATCATAAGAAATACAGTGAACTTTCAAATCAGCAAAATGCTGAACGTTGTTTGCTAACCACTTACGTGTTATTGCAAAGAAAACAACCAGGATGTACCAAATCTTAACTCAATTTAAGGAAGAGTGTACTTTCTGTATGGTAAAAATCCATGAAAATTATTACATGGCTATATAAACTTCCTCTTCCAGATAATTGGCCTTCAATGGTTTCTCAATTGCTAGCTCTAGCACCAACAGGACGAGAAGAGAAGAAAAAAACCTTTTTCTCAGATATCATGGAGAAATAAATGAAAGAAAGGACTGGGAAAAGGGTGCTATTTAAACCATGCTTCAGGCAGTAATTTAAATTTGGTCAGCTGTTCTGCAGCAGCATTTTTGGGCAGCAAAAGCCTGTGAACAGATACAGAAAATCATTGCAGCTTCTTTAGACACTGGCTCTACTGCAATCTTATACTGAAGAACAAAATGTTATATTATGAAATACATCAACTGATGAAGAATTGGATATATTAAATTCTCTAAATCATTTACGTAACAAAAAGTAATATTTAAATCAGAAAAAAAGAAAGTTAACAGTAGCTAACAATTATTATTTAGGTTACTGAGAGCAAGTTAATTAGTATACAAGTATGTAGGCTGTCCATAATCTCTGCCCAGTACAACCACAATTCAATGGAATGCCAAATTAAAATTCCACTATTCCCAGTTATTAATGGAAATGGAACCTGGCACACTGGTCTAAGATTATTGAGGTAGAATTGTGTGGAGTTCTAAAATTATAATATGGATGAAAGACTAATCAAATGACACTGAGCTATAACCTAAAACCATCATTCTTTTCTAGATTATCTAAACTTCTCAAAATCTGTTCTCTTTAATTTCAGGATCTACAGTCTTTGAGTTTTCTTGTCATCTTTCCCTTATGTAATGAATGATACACTGAGCAAGTTCAAAATTTTACAGTAGTGCTTAAACATTTGTGTACCCTTTTGAATTTTCAAAATTGTTGCATAAATATGACCTAAAATATGATTTGTTTTAAGCACCACTATAATTATCTTATCCTTTCAATAGGCTAACACTTCAACTGCCAGCATTTCATACCCATGCAGTTTATAACTCTGGAGTTAGCTGCTGGCCTAACTCCAGAGACTATATATGATAAAAATAGTTATACATAAACAAAAAATATAGAGGGATAGTTTTTTTCTAAGGTGTAGCTGTGAGAGACTTCCTCCCCAAAATACAGAATGAAAAGGCAGCATATAGAGATTGAAAAACTTTCAATATCTCTTCACATTTATCCTGTAAGCTAGCACTCCTCAGGATCAATATATTTAAAGAGCTATGGCTTCCCCATTCTTCATCTAATATGCAAGATTTGAGTGAGGAATGCTACTTGATAAAGGCACATCTAAACATATAAGTTTAAAACATGTTTGAAGCAACCACAAATCAGTCTCTGAAATTATACAAACTAGGAAAACATTTGTCATCCATTTTTGGTTATATAAACTGATTACAGACATGATTCAGTTTCACAAAACCATTAAAGGTCAAGTTAATTCAAGCAAATTATAATTATATGACATTTTTCTTCTTTTAGATGATTATTTAAAATTACTTTCAAACGAACTTATTTCAGGATGCACTATGCAAAGCAGCTTTGTTTTCCCGATTTCTCATTTTAACTGCAGCCCTTGCACTGGAGATATTCATGGAGATAAAGGGAAGAAATATCCCATGATATTCTGATTTTCAGGAAGCTGGTGAGACAATGGAGCAAGACGCTACTGCAATTCTCTGAATCCTGGTCACTGAACTCAACAGTACAGTGGTACCTTGGTACTCAACTGTTTTGAAACCCATCGAATTTGATACTCTACACATTTTGACACAAAACTTTTGTCCCAGTATCCATCATTTGTTTGATACTCAATGCACAAACTAGAACTTGTTGGTGCAGCTGTCTTGTGACTCACTACATCAGGGTTGTCAAAATCTATTTCACTGAGGGCTGGATCAGCATTATGGTTGCTCTCAAAGAGCCAGTAGCTGGCTTGCAGCGACTAGGTGGGCATGGTTGGGTGAGCATGGCCGCCTCAACACCATTCACTGGGCATGGTTGGGTCAGCATGGAACAAGTCACACCAGCTAAGTCAAGGTGGGGACAATTTGTTGCTAAGCTAAGTCAAGGTGGGAACAAGCTCGCCTCCCCAAACTGCTGACAGTGCGTGCATGCACACATACACCGCATTCCAAGTTTGTGGACTTTTATCCACAGAGGAAGGAGAGGGCCTTCTCCTCAAGCCCAGGCATGATTGGCAGTTTGTAAGCTCAGATGTGGATAAGTGTCTCCAAGCTTGGAATGGGGTGTGCGTGTGTGTGCATGCATGTGCACAGCATACAAAGGAGACGTTCTTCTTCCATTCCCAGACATCGTTGGCTTTTCCCTGTCTTGTGCCCCCTCCCAGCAAAGCAGGAGGCAGAGGACAATGCTGCTACGTGTGGAAGCATGGAGGAGAAAGTTTGCAAGAAGCAGTTTCCTGAATCCAACTTCTGCCTTGACAGATCTCTGGAGAGAAAGAGGTGGCAGGAGAGTAGTGCTACCCAGTCCTCCACAAGGGAGGCTGGCCCTTCTTGAAAGGGAATCCCCGTTTCCAATCGTGTGTGGTAAGGATGCTAGCTTGTTGGGGCAGCCTTCCCTCACACAGTACCCTGCCACCCTCTCCTCCTCTCCAGAAATCTGTCAATACCATTTCAGAGAGGTGGCTGTCCAGTCTTTTCTTAAAAACCTCCAGTGATGAAGCACCTATGATACTTATTCGGTTACTCGTACTTACAAAAGAAACCAAAATGCAAGTAAAGGTAAAGGGCCCAGAACTCAGCAATGGGGGGAGGGCGGGGGCTGCTGAATCCCATGGTGGAACCATTTTCACAGTGGCAGGAGTGCTATGGAGAAAGGGGGAGCATGATCTCAGCGGATGACAATATTGGAAGGAGAGGACCTGGAGGCATCTCCCCTATATGGCTTGGAGAGACAGGCAGGTACCCTCAAAGAGAGTGGATCTTGCAAGTAACCTGACCCCGTCCTGTTTCTAGCCTTCCAAATGATAGGGAACTGCTTCCTCTCCATCCGGACCATCACAACCTCTGGGCACTGGGTGATCATCTGAATGACATTGCCTGACTGACCAGGCATGGTAACAGAGGACAGCATGTGGGTGTCTCAGGGATTGGTGTTCCTGCTCCGTTTTGATATTTCCCTGATATTATGAAACAAGGAATGTCTCCACCTCAACCCGAACAGGGAGGTTTCGGCCTACCTGGGTCTGGACAGGGCTCATTTTTTATATTTGCTCACAGGGCAGACAAAACCTCACTTTCTCCAGATGTTGCTGTCTACTGTTAGGGGAGAAAAGGGCTGAGCCTTCTCCAACAACACCCACTCCTACAACCTCCAAATAAGCAGAAGATCAGGCTGGGGGGAGAGCCCCTGGGTATCAGCCCAACAAACAGTTGACAAAGGCAGAGGCAGAAAGGGGTCTTGGGGGGGATAGTGCCCATTGCCTGCCCTTCCACTGACTTCTTGGCAAGCAGCTGCCAGGCAGAAGGACCGCCACCCTTGGTGTGCTGGGTTGGAAAAAGATTGGGGAGTGACTTAGAGGATAAGGAAAGCCGGATGTCCTCTGAGACTATGGGAAGGGGAAGTTGAGAGTTCAAAACTGCATCTGTATCTGCATTAAAAACTCAGCGGATGCAGGCAAAATGTGGATATTTGACACCTCTCCTGAGGAGATTCGCTTCGCTCCTGCCCTTCCCCCTTTCAACTTGGTGCTGCCACTGCTCCTCACTCCCCTGAAATGCTGGCAGCCAAACCCAGAGCCGGTGCTGTTTCTTCCCAGTCTGACGTGTTGCAACCTAGGAGAGAAATCTGTGAGGCTTCCCGGAGCCCGGCGGGGCCGATCCATTCCTCCCAAGAACAACTTCCCCGCCACCTTCCAGCTCTGTCACTGCTGCCCAGTCCGGCCTGCTTGGCTGGCTGCATCCTGCAAGGTGGCACTGAGCAAGGCCCCTGTGGCACTCCGCCCGCCCAAGCGCTTCTCTCCCGGCAGATCCTGCCCACCCTCCCTGGCTCCCCTGCCTCGCCCACAGCCTTTTTAGAGACAGAGTCCCAACTTGGCCAGAGAGGGAAGATGTGCAGAACCAGCCATAGCCTTGATCCATGCAGCCCAGCTCAAAGGCTGCTGGCCAATGAGCGGCCGAAGGGCCAATGAACTTCAGCTGCTGCTGGGCACAGACAGCCCCCACATGCCCACCACCTCCTGTGTGCATGCACAGGGGAAGCACCTGGCCAATTTGGGGTGGGTGGCACCCAGTCCCTCATCATTTCCAGGGCGGCCCTGCGGGCTAGATCTAAATACATCGAGGGCCAGATCTGGCCTGCAGGCTTTGACTTTGATACCCATGCACTCCAATATTCCTCATGGGAAACACCTGCTTGGTACTCATAGTTTTTGGTCTCATTGTACCTCCCGGAACTAATTAACAATGAGTACTGAAGTACCACTGTACTAACCTAAATTATCAAAATGATTATGTTCCTTTTAATAATTGGTTAAAATAAAATATAATTAAGAGACATTACCTGTATTTATGTATTGTTTTCTTCATATCCACTTTGACAGTGAGTTTCTCTTTCCTAGCATGAACATCTGAACTACCAGTATCATGCTGGTAGTTGCTGGAAAAATTTATTCTTCCCCTAAAATCCAAATCTTTCTGTATTCGTTCTTTTTCATTTTGATCTAAGGATTTCACACATGAATTGTGGCCTTTCCCTGAATTATATTTCACTGCCACTTCAGTGTGAGGCTGTCCCATTCGGCTTGCCCTGTCACTGCTATAATGATCTGAACATTTACTATTCCAAACTCCTTTACAGTAGCTGTATTTCTCGTTGTCCAACTTGACATATTTCTCTGCTTTTTCATCAGAGGAGTATTTTCCTCCCTCTGGATGTCTATGACGTTTATGAGAATACTCATATGTAACCTTAGCTTCACAATTATTACTGTATTCAATTTCAGCATGCCATTGATCTTCAAGATTTCTTTGTTCTTCCCTTTTCTGATTGGAAGAAGAATAATTTTGCTTCCATTTGGAACTGCTTGCGGATTCTCTATCATACCTCTCCATTTCATTCACCTTTTTAGAGCTGGGCCCATATTCTCTGTAATCACGGTCAGGATACCTGTGTTGATATAAAGTAGTTTATACTTGCAGTAAGGAAGAAAATGAGAATTTATGTATGCAGAATCTGGTAAACTCAGCTGTTAGGTAGAATGTGTCACCCCGTAATCCCTCAAGCCACCAAAAGAGGGGAAATTATGATCTTGAATATGCTAGTCACCAACAGGATTAATATAAAAGAAATAATATTCCTCTAACACCAGTAGCCCACAATTAAACTATATTTTTATTGTTAGAGAAAACAATTTTCTGGCCAGAAATATGGAACTATTAGGGAAAATAGTTTTCACTTGAGGCTTTACACCACTAAAAAAAATAATTAAAACTGGGCAATTTCTCTACCTCTTCTTGGAAGAACTCCTTGGCGTACATTCATTAGAAAATCTTCGAAATGACTGAACATATTTGTCTTCTTGTACTTGGTGGTGCCTCAAGTCATTTTCATGCCACTTCCTTTCAAACTTACATAAAGTCTTTAATGGCCTATGATATGTCTTCATTTCTTTTGTGTTTCCAACAGCTCGAGTACCTTCATGCATTTCTCTTACATGTACTTTAGATGGATAAAATGACTGATGGTATTCTTTGTGAGACATTTCTAAATATCTGGAACTAAATTGGTTTCTTCTGATACATTCATTTCTTTCAGGTGAATATGTTCTAAAAGATTTATGATTATCAATGTCTTCTGAAGGGTTTCTTTTCAGAGAAGGGGAATATGATCTGGATTCATGAAGTCGATGATAGTTAGTTTCATGTGGTATATATCTGGGATTGGTTTGCCCATGTTTTGCCTCTTCCATTCTCCAAGTTATAAGTTTCTTTGAGTCTTTTTGGAAAATCTTATATTCAGAGTCATAATCAATGTGCCTTTGTCTATTGTATTCCTGTGCTCTGAAGACTGGTGATAAAGATCTACATGAAAACACATAAGTACCGAATTCAATTCAATTATTGCAATATACATTATGTCAGTAGGTGTGGGAGTCTGACAAAGTAGCATACAATATTGTTCTAAGTTACCTATAGGAACTTATTACATTTCGCATGTTGAAATTTTTAAAATTTGTTTGTTAAATTGAGGGAAAATGAAGCAAAACTGGAACAGGTTCCTCATGTAGATAATTCCCATACAGACTAACTACTTCTGGAAATTATTCTTATGAAGTGCAGCAAATTTTAAGTGCTGCAGCTGGTGTTCCGTCAACAGCTACATTCTAAAATGTAAACAATGTTATGACAGCTTAGTAGAGAATATAGCTGTATATATTCTCTTACAGATAAGAGGATCTCTCACTCTAAAATCCTGAATACATTCACTTCCAAATATACCGCTCAAAAAAATAAAGGGAACACAAGCAGAAGACATCTGAATGAATGAAATAGCCTTATTAAATACTTTGTTCTTTACATACAGTAGTTTATACACTGCTCAAACAACTAAAGGGAACACAAAACTACTGTATGTAACGAACAAAGTATTTAATAAGGCTATTTCATTCATTCAGATCTCGGATGTCTTCTGCTTGTGTTCCCTTTATTTTTTTGAGCAGTGTATAATTCCAATAATTAAGAATAATATTTCTCAGATAATCATTTAGTGCTGCTGTCTTCTAGTAAATTAAGGATAACCTGTATGAGCAATAGAAAAACATGACCATTTACCTTCGTTTCCATCGTGGTGATCTTGACCGTGATCTAACCATCTTTCCATATACTTGTAAGCTGTCTTCGTTTAACTATTAGAAAAAGGTAAACAAGTAAATATTTAGCAGGAACTAGTATGTACTATAACTGTTAATAGTTTAATGTTTACCAGAATATATTTCAAAAAAAGGTATTTAATTTATAATTAAGATAACAAGAATGAAAAGCTACAACAGAAAACAACCTCGTATTTTATCTAAAATGGAAATGTTGATAATTTGCTGATTTCATGTATTGTATTCATTAGTATTTTTTAAAAAAATCTACACTACTATATTTTTCGGAGCATAAGACGCACCTTCCCTCCCCCCCAAAAAAGAGGGTGAAAATCTGGGTCATATACACCGAAGGTAGCCCCACCCACTCGCTGGTCCCCACCTTTTGGAGGTTGTTGGCCTCCGCCCCTCACATTTTCCAGCGGTTCCAGGCGGCGGGGATCCTCATTTCCACTCAGATTTTGATAACGAGCAGCACAGATCTTTTTATCCATTTAAAACAAACCCTATCACTCTATGCACATTTAACTGGAGTGGGTAGCGTGGAGTGGGGAATGATTTTCATGGGGACACAAAAGGGATTTGGCACTGAAGATTCCACTCTTGAGACACCCCGGTCTTCCTACCTATAGCCGTAGACGTTGAAAGCCTGGCTTTCTTACAGCAAGGCCCGATAGCGATGCAGCACTTCAGTCCTTCTGGACGGTGCCATCTCGAAAACACAGTGCCGGGCCTCCCGGCAACCCCTGCACCTTTGCTGCCTTGGTCGGAGCCTGATTCTGCAAGTGGCCTGGGAAGCGCGGAGATTGGGACTCATTTGGTGAAGCGGGTGCTTCTGCGCGAGAGGCGCAAGACAAGGTGGCTCGCTGCCGGCCTGCCCCTTCTCCAGACAACACAGGCAGAGGGTGGTCGGCTTCTGCTCCTGGCCCAGGAGATGGATCTGGCCAGGAGGAAAGAGAAAATGAGCCTGCGGAGAAGGAGGGCTCTGCGAATTGCATCGGGGAATCGGGGAGGAAAAAGAGCATCGCCTCCATGCATCGCATTTTCCGGCGTTTTCCTCCAATTCCCCGATGCAATTCGCAGAGCCATGCACCCTCATGAAAACACAGCGGCGGTGGTTTTCGGCCAGTTTCAAGCAGCACCCTAACTGCTTGCACCGCCCATCTCCCAGCATATGGAGACCAAAAATGTGATGCTTGTTTTTGGCAATCCCCGTTGCCTGGAACTGACCGAAAACCGCCACCACGTTTTCATGAGGGCACATGGCTCTGCAAATTGCATCGGGGAGGAAAACACTGAAAAATGTGATGCATGGAGGCAGTGCTCTTTTTCCTCCCTGATTGCCCGATGCAATTCGTAGAGCTTTACCTTACACCCCTTGTGCTGCCACCCAAAAACACTTTCCTCCCTGATTCCAAAAACGGGATGTGCGGAGGCAAAAAAAGAATATTGCATTTTCGGGTGGTTCCAGGCAGCGGAGATAGCAGCAACAGTGTTTTCAGGTGGCAGTGCCCACTTCGTCAACCAAGTCCCGACCTCTGCACTTTCCAGTTTGTGGGGGCAATAAGCTGACTTGGTATAAATATACAAAAGTATGAAGGCTATTGCTTAGCGCATTGTAAGCCGCCCTGAGTCTCCTGAGAAGGGCTGCATATAAATCAAATTTTAAAAAAAAGGTATAGGGGGATTGCCAGGAAGCCTGGTGTTTACAAGATGGCAGCATCCAGGAGGTCTGAAGTGCTGCGTCTCTATCGGGCCTTGCTGCGAGAAAGCCAGGCTTTCAACACCTACAGCTATAGATAGGAAGATGGGTGTCTCGAGAGTGGAGCCTTCGGTTCCAAGTCCCTCTTCTGCCCCCATGAAAATCATCCCCCACCTCACCCACTCCAGTTAAATGTGTGGAGTGATAGGGTTTGTTTTAAATGGATAAAAAAATTTCCCAAAGCCTCTAATATTCCCGATTCGAGCGCCGATTTAGGCGCTATCTACCTTGTAGAGGTTGATAGAGGAAAGGGAAACCTCCGAGGACCTCGGGGAGGACAGCAATCCCCCCGAAGGTTCAGGAAAACTCCCTTAACTCAGACCGGGAAAGAACCAGCCATCCAGGCTGGCCAGAAATGGTGACAGGTGTATAGAGGGAAGCGAAGATCGAACAAGAAGCATCGGTGGAAATAGAAAGCAAGAAAAGGTACTTTTACATCTTCTAATTGTCGAAAGAAAGCGGGAGGAAGGAACCCCTGAGTCAAAGAAAGAAGAGAAGCGGCGACTGGCGAGTGAGTGGAGGGAGGAATCCATATTGAAAGTGACATCGCGTAATTTGGTAGCCAGTGAAACCCGAGGAAATCCAGAGGGAAGCAAGTCGACGGAGCGTGAGGGCGATATTTAGAACTTTATAAATAAGAATCCGAAAGAAGTTAAAGTTTCAGGAAGTAAAAAAGACTTGACGGGAGGATTACTAGATCCCCGGATATCCAAAGAAGAAAAGACGGAGAAGCCATATTGATTTACAGCAGAGAGAACGTAGCGAGCTTGGGACTTATAATACTCTTATGTTTACTGGATAGCTCGGACAAAGCTTCGTTAACAAGACTGAGACAATTGGATTATTGGAGAATAAGATAACTGGATAATTGGCTTAAATTACTTAGAGAAGCAGACGTTTGACATTCTTGGTGCACATTTGGTGTTTATTGGATATATATAAAAGGGAAGGAAAAGTACGAACGAACGTGGAATACACTGGATCTATAACACTGTTTTTTCTACTGTTTCCAGTTTGGGAGGACTTGAACTGAGGATTAGGAAATAACTGGACAATACTTAGATATATTAAGATATTGAAATCACGGACAATTGAAAACAAGTCGAGTTGGACTATAGCTGGACACTCAATATAAGGAGTAAGAAGAAGGAGAAAGTAACGAGTGTGGGAAGTACTTCCAAAGAAGAATCAAAGACTTGCTATTAAAACTACTCATTAATTATCAATAGTGACCAAGAAGTAATATTTATATATGTATATAGACGTTGTTTTGGAAATTCATTTTTACATACGATTGCATAGTATAATTTGGTATTGATTAAGTCAATTATTGCCTCGTCAGCCTATTTTTATATACTTATACTTACTTTATATACTTAGAAACAAAGGTTTAGATTATAGCATATTTACTATATTTGCGTAAAGTATACCTATATATGTATGCTAGAGAAATTAGAAACTAATAGCAATTGATATTTATTGGATTATTGAATTAGTTACTGAACTATCTATTGATTATTGAATTATTGTTGCATCAGTCTACCTTCATACATTTAGGAGCAAAGATTTACAATTAAATATATTTATATGTGTATGTCAGATAAATTAGAAATCAATAGCAATTGATAGTTATTGGAACTAAGATATATATATGTGTGTGTGTGTGTGTGTGTGTGTGTGTGTGTGTGTGTGTGTGTGTTCTTGAGACTTACCTTTATATATGATTGCATAGAATAAGTTTATTAACACTAAGTGAACTATTAACCTATAAGCCAATTTTTACACTGAGTCAAAGACTTAGTGTATAGTATATTAAGTATATTTATATAAATTATATATCCTTACTGTATTAGATAAATTAGAATTCAACAGAAATTGATTTTTGATTAATAGGATAAGAGTTATAGCAGGTATTTAAATATTTAATTTTAAGAACAACCGGTTGATGGATTGCTAGATTAGTGTACTTTTTCCCTCAAACCTTCTCCTCTAGTTCCCATCACTGTTGTCTCACAAATATCGTGAAATATTAGAAGAATATTGAATAGTGATAAATAAATCTGGGTGCACAGACAAGAATCAGAATTATAAATATTGATTAGTATATGAAATTCTGGGAAATTATAAAAAAAGAAATACTAATGGCAACTACAGGCACAGCAACAACAACCAAAACAAGTAAGAAAACCCCATCGAGCCAAATGATACTTATGGCCTCGCCAGCCCAACAAAAAGTAACTGAAACTACAGAAAAGGAAAAGATGGGCCCCGCCCTCAACATACAGAACATTCAATCCGCACTAGCAATGATCCAGGAAGGTATGAATAGAATGCAGGAAACGATGGCACATAACCATGAGGAAACAAGAAAAAACCGCAAAGAACTGAGGTCAGATGTAAGCAAAATAAAGGATAACATCAAAAATATGGATGAGAAGATAGAAGAAATCCATCAAAACATAGCGGAAAATGAGCAGAGGATTAATAGGGTGGAAGAAAAAATAGAACACACGACTAACAGAATGGAAAGAATGGAACAAGATCAAGGGGCATTTAACAAGGAAACCGAAGACGCATTAACGTATCTTGAGATGGAGAAGGCATCATTCTATTTACGATTTCAGAATGTAGAACAACAAAAGGAGGAAGACCTAGGCGAAACAATGATTGAGATATTGGCGAAGGCAACCCAGATGGACAAGGATGAACTGCGAACTGGAATTGACGAAATATATAGGGTGTATACGAATTACGCAAGAAGGAATAAATTACCGAAAGAAATTCATATAAGATTTACGAAGAAATCGATAAAGGAAGAAATCTACAGAAAAATGAGAGAGGAGACAACTTTGTATAAAGGAAGAGAAATCCTAACCCTCAAACAAATACCAAGGAGAACAAGAGACCAAAGAAGAAATTATAACTTCCTAACTAACCAGCTGAATAAATTCAAAATAAAATTCTACTGGTTATTACCGGAAGGTCTACTCATCTCTTGGGAGGAAAGAAAATACAGAATCAATAATATAGAAAAGGCTCAAGACTTCTTTGAACAACATTTCGCCTGCGAGTAGGAACAGGAGACGAGAGGAGAAATGGAACCCAGGAGACAAGAGATACAGCAGACGGAGAGAGAGGAAAAAGATCAGGAAGACAAAAGAAATGCGGAGAGAGAAAGAACGGAGAGAGAGGGAACGAGGGAAAAGACCCAAAGAGTCACTAGAAACACAACAAAGTTGAAAATAATGAACAGAAAAATCCAATAGAGATGGAA